GTCATTCATGGCTGTAAAGGAGTACAGCACACCACCGGCCTGAAAATGAAAACTTACCAGATGACGAGGGTGATAACGAGAATCATATCCAACAGTTTCACTGCCTTCTTCATCAGAAAAGTGCAGAAATGAAGTCTTTTTAGTTAATTTATGAACAGGAGACGGTATCAACTCTCCAGGTTGATGGTGAACCGTGAACCCACTACCATAAGCAAATTCCAAGGTCTTTAGGGTGGAAATTAAAACCACACTTAAAATGAAGATACATACACTGATTAGTGATTACAGAAGAAGCTAAGGAATTAAGAGATGAATTGGAATTGATCAGAAACGTAACATTCTAGAGGGATTGGAGAAGAAAAGTCCATTTGATGGGCCATCAGTGAGATCAATCATAACCCAAGAATCACTCCGACCTAACATCCCCAACCACAACCAATTATTTGCATTTGAAGAGGCAGCAATGTCATGATCATGGGACAGACGGAAAATGTACATCAATTGACGAGTAGTGATGGTGGTTCTTTGAGGTCCTTACTTATTAGAAAAGTTCCATTGATGCACTGTGAGCTGAACACCGTACCCGGCCTATACCCCTATATATTTATAATTTCACACTTCACAATAAAAAAAAAAAAAAAAACCTGGTGTGATGGGAAAATTGAAATAGAGGGAGAGAGAGAGAGAGAGGCACTTGTAATGTCTAAAATTATTGAATGATGGTAAAAACAAAACCATGTATTATAGTGTAAAACAGGTTTGGCTATTACCAGCTAAGAAACTAAATACGAAATAATGGCCACTGTAATCAAGGGACTGATACTTGATTAATGGCTAATGTGCAAATTCTTTAAAACAAGTAGTTGGAGGTAATTGGCTCAGTTTGGAAGGAGTACAAAAACAAGTTTGAAGAGTGTAAAATCTTTTATTTTGTATGTATTTGCACTGGTATTATGTGTATTTGTATTCTTTCCAAACTGAGACTTTGATGGGAAAGTAATTAACTAAGGTTATTGGATTGGTAAATTGGTATTGTTAGGATCTCATTAATAGCAAACCAAGTTTAAGAATTTTGGGCAAGGGCAATAAAATGATTATGGTAGTTTTTAGCAAAGAATTTAGAAGACAACCAAACGTAGGCTGCAGCATCATAGTTTGAGCAGTTGATAAGTCACTTGTGTACGACCCAACAGTCCAAAGAGAGACGCATAACAAAAAGGGGGGAGATCCCACAAATGAAGTGAAACACCCAGTTGCGTCGTGGGACCCGACCAACTCCAGCTCCACTCTCCACTCTCCACTCTCCACTCTCAGATTCAGATGGTCTTCTCTCTCGTACACTTTGCGCATGCAATACACTCGGCAAATTGTTTCTAATCTCTAACTTGTATTAACTGCATTTGGTCACAAAATCATGTATACAGATGGATTCAGGCACATAAACTGCATTTGGTCGATGGGAATTCAAGCATTCTCTTACTTGCGTTGCTTGAATTGAAGCAATACAACCACGAAGATAGCACAACTACCAAAATTATCATCTCATTTGGCAAAGCTTTGTAAAATTGAGCAACTAAAAGTCTAAAACAAAAAGTATTTCAGCCTCTTTATATTAAGTAGTAAGGCTCCCCGGGCTCAAGCTAGCACATTGCACAGCACTTGGTGTCTCAATACAGGAGTCCCAAGAAGCCAAAAATGATAAAATAAAAAGACAAAAGCCAAAATCTCTCGACAAATTGGCTTCTTCAAAGTGAAATGCTTGTAAATCGAAATACACTCACTCACAATCTAATATTTATCGACACATACCAGAGTGGGTAATAGAGGAATTGCTCTACAGAATTACAAAATGTATGAATCAATTAATATACCACTGCAAATTTATAGCTTTCGCAAGGAAATCCTTTTTCCACATCCTAGATAAATTAGGGGTCCAGAATGGAATTGAGATTTTGTAACAACAAAACCTGAATTCATCCAGGAGGTTTATAACAAACCATTCGAGAAAGAAAGATTTACCAATTTCGGAATCACTGCACATACATAAAACATGAAATACATTATCATCAAAATAATCATCCCTACAATCTTCTCTACCAACCAGGTAATAAATGGATTGACATGTTTGTGGCCAAGGCCAGGAGAATCTAGTATGTAACAAAACCATAAATTTGGATTCAAATGTAAAAACACTTAGGCAAAATAATAAATAAAAATAAAAATAAAAATAAAAAAAATGATGGCTGTCCGATATTAAAGAAAGCTAATTCAAAAGGCGATAATACAAGAATATATTGAAGCAAACTAAATGAAAATTGGGAATATTGATTTACATATTAAATATTTACGTGATTGTTGCTCGTTTCAGGTAACGTATTAATCTGAAACTATTAGTAAACGCTTCTTGATTCATTGGCAATATCATTTTGCTGCTTAGAAAATTGATTTCTTTTTTGTGATAAACTAAAACTTTCTTTCTTTACCATAGTCATCTATTTTTTTTTTATCTAGTTCATTATTAACATCCAAAACATGATATACGATGCATTAATTAAAATGAATACCTTGCCTCTTTTATCGATTTGGCATTTAAAATGAATATCTAGGCTTAATGGACTTGATCAGATGAAACAATGGTTGCTAGAACAAGAACAATCAATATCAAGAAGGAAATTCAGATGGTCTTGACATGATTTCTTCATTACAGTAGCTTGTTTGGTTTGAAAGAATATGTATGGAAGGCAAGGAAAGGTAGGAAACCTGTACAAATATGTGGAATGGGACAATTGATTGTGTCCTGAATTCTTTCACCCAAGTTCGAGTACCCCACCCAATTCATAGCATTGTAATTCATAATGCCCCTAGATTTTGTATTACATTATTACCTCTACAGTATACAAGATTAAATTAGAAAAGTAAACTGCAGATTGTATTAGATTAATCACCCATTCTTGACCTCCTGTCAGCAGATAGATTTGATCCGGTGGACAAATTATCAAAGAAACAGGTCATGATGTACTAACGTATGTTAACTTGTTCAATCAATTAGTATATTTTAAGTGAATGATCTCTACAAAAAAAAAAAAAAAAAAATGGAAGAATGTTTTTACAAATGTATATGTCAATCGAAGCCTCACGAAATCTGCAAGCTATATACAGTTTAAACTTTAAAACCCTTGTTACAGTAGAGTAAAAATAAATTTCGTCGTCTCATTTAAGAGGCACCTCAGACCTGCTAATCTTAATTCCAGGCTTGTAAATTGCAGAACTTAAGTCAAAATTCGGGTTTTGCAGAATATAAGAAAACGACTGGAATATTCAAAATGCTAGTTGTTTGTATGGATACTACAAAAATGAATTAATTTTCTAAGTCAGTTATCCTTTTTCTTGTTTTATTTTGATTGGTGAACTACCCTAGAAATTGTATTTTCTTGGTTATAAATCTGTCAACCAGTTCTCCATGTGCTCAAGCTTAGGAGCTAGGATGGCTTGCCTAGTTTTGTTCTGTGTAATAATTGGTCTGATCAAGTTCATGTATCGTGCTCATTCTCTACAATGATTGTCATTTTGTTCATGTTTCATGTAGGTCTCTTGGAAGTGTTCCCATCACAAAGCTCTACATTACCACCCATCTCAAGAATCAAAGCCTCAAGTTTTGTTTTCTATTTTGATCTAGTTTGTGTGTTTTTTCTTCTCAAAGGAAATGTTTAGAGTTCATGTTTCTGTATTTTATTCCATTGGGAAATTGTAAGATTTAAATATCAAAATTGGGAAATAAGAGAAATTTTACTTTCTTTTTTATCAAGTTAAGAATCCATTTAGTTGATTTCCTAGGCAGGTTGTGGTTTTAGTTACTTGTTTAAAAATTGGAACCATTTTAAGATGCTTTTCTTGCTTTCCTTCTATTTGGGCATGTGGATCCTTTTTAGTATGGATATTTCACACATTTGAAGAGATAATTTAAACATGGGGCTTATACATAGTGGTCTAACACTTTCTTTTTTTTTTGATAAATATACATAGTGTTCTAACATTAAAGACTATTAATCTTGTATAAAAAATTAGATGCCCACCTCCTAAACTTTTATTTCTCCCCATAAAATATATGATGAAAGGATATCTTTGCTTTTTTGCTTATAACATACAATATTAGTTACCCTCAACTTTCAGTAATTCCTCCTTTCTTTTCTTTCTCTTTCTTCTTTCGATCATGCAAACAACAGATAGAAGAACCCATCTCTCCTGATCTTCTTACCATTAAAATGATGGATTTTAATCTATTTCCACTCTTATACCATGATGTATCATCATTAACAAACAAATGCACATTTCATTATAACATGTGAAACAAATAAGAAGAAACAAGAGAAAGCATAGTCATTCAAGATGGCTTTGTAAGTAATGCCTTTCTGCACTGGAAGAAAAGAGAGCAAGCTACGCGACAGGCAGATTATAAACAAGAGAAACCATCTCAACCATTCTGTTTACTTCACATGCAGTAAGTCTGCCATGACCTAAAAAGTTTTCTAACCTTCAATAATCACTCAAAAAGAACTTAAGAGTCAAGACTTCAAAAATTCACATCACAAACAAACTCAAATTTATATCAATATATATGGTACATAAAAAATATAAATTTGCATTTGAAAAAAAAAAGGAACTCCTACAATAAATAAATGAATAATAATTAAATGTCCAAATTTTCACTTTTAAATACTAGATGTTCATGCATGAAACACTCTCTGCACTGCAGTGCTGGACTGCTCAATTCTCAAGTCCACACTCCTCAACCCCAATAATAGTGGTAGTAATATTAATTAGGAATAATAGAAGAAAGAAAATAATAACAAGGCTGGGAATTTTGGATGGAAGAAAACCTCTATTCTCCTTCGCCCAACCAAACGAGGAACCAATCTCGTCCCATTTCAAACCGGCAACAAAACGGGTAATCGGGAAAAAAGCGGTTCGAAGTTCAAAACCAACCAGAAAGCAAAACCCAATTCAATACACGAGAAAAGAACCATAAAGAAAAGTGAGAAACAAACAACAAGAGAGAGAGAGAGACTACTAGACAGTAGACACTCATTCGGTACTATAACACAAGCAACACTTGGAAACAAATAAATAAAGCAAATAAAGGTCAATGACGACAATAAGAAGAGTAGATATAACTATGAAAATCTGGATTGAAATTGGAACAAACATCCGCATTACTCAATCTCTCTACTTCTTTTCTTCTTTCTCTTCCTCCGGACCAATGGGTGTTAAAGTGCTAAGAACAACAACGGCATCAACAACATCAATAATAAGAACAATGAACAAGAGGGAGATGGTGGGTTAAGGAAAGGAGATCGATGGGAAGAAGGAATAAAAAACCAGTGTTTTCTTAAGATCTTGGGTGTGGGAAAAATTGCGTACCAGCCATGAAAGCGTTGAGGGGAGTTGGGTATAGAGAAGAAGGATCAAGCAACGCGGCAGCGGCCGAGGCAGCTGCGGTACTAGTACTAACATTGGTGGTGGTGGTGGTGGTGGTGGCGGCGGTTCCAGCGGTGATGAGATTAAGGGGAATTCCTCCTCCACCGGAGGAGCTTTCACCGGGAACGTAATGACCTTCGGGACCTTGATCATAGAGAATGCCCTTAAAGACGTGCCCTCGGATGTTAACAGCTGTCTGATAAGCATACTGAGCGTCAGCTTCGTCCATGGCGCTCACTCGAACGCAACGAAACACCGCCGGAGAATTCACTTCGGCAGGAAAGTTGCCCACTTCCAACCCTAACAGAAATCAAAAAGGCAGCGACATGAGAACATGGCAATTTAGATATTGAGAGAAACAAGGTAAGAAAAGAAGGGAATAAATGCGCCACCTCCATGGAGCTGAATAAATATATATTCACGGAGGAGAGCAAGTTAGACAGATAGACTGAACAATAAATCAATATCAAATTATCAATTCGTTTCAATTTTTTTATAGGTTCATGTCAATCCATTCGTCAGTATTACTTACTAATAGTAGAAAAGAAGGAGAAAAAGAAAAGCTGGTTGGGATGATTATGGAGGTCGACTTCGTCACACGCAAACGATATGGTTTTTGCTTTGGTGGATGTGGATAGCTCTCTCTCTCTCTCTCTCTCTCTCTCTCTCTCTCGATATCTGTCTCCAGATCTACCTTTACATCTCTTTCGAGAATCAAGTATATAATATAACTATATACATGTGTATGTGTATGTATCTATAAGGAATTCTGTATATCCAATCTATCAATCTATCTAAAGAGAGATTGTTTCTGTATCTGTATGTTTTGTATTATTGAAGAGCAGCAGCAACTGTACCTGACGTGGTGGTGGGTAGACGAGTGCAGGCGAGAGAGGAAGCACTTGGATTCTCTCTCTGCCTTTTGGGATTCTCTCCTCGGAGCTGCTGCTGCTGCTGTTCAACAGCGGCGAGCTGTTGTTGCCTCTCCCGCCTTCTAGAAGCAGGGACCCAAGTGCTCTTGACGTGGGTTTGGCACTGAAACCCTCGGCTCTTACAGCAAGTCCTGCACCGCATATGAACGCAGTCCTTCTTTGCTTGGTTGCCACAGTCTTGGCAACTCATTCCTCCTCCCCCGCTTCCTCCTTGCCGCATCATGACCAGTGCTGCTCTCGACGGTGACTCATCGGAGATGTTAGCGCTCCGACTAGGACCCACCCCTAAGGCGGAGGAATAGATATCTTGCTGCCCATGCCGTTGGTGGAGATGTTGTTGCCATAGCTCGAAACCCTTGTTGTAGGAGATCTCTTCGTTTCTGTACAAAAATAGACTCTCTGGAGGAATTTCGTTGTGCTGCTGCTGATTTCCTCCTCCTCCTCCTCCTCCACCTAGTGAGAACCCAGCCATTGTTTCAACCTAAAAGCTGAGCCAAACCTCAATTGGGAGAGAAAATCCATAGCAGAAGCTCACTTGGGCTTTGATGGGTTTGAGGAATAGGCCTGGGGTTGAAATTAGGAGAGCCAGTGAAGATAGATGGTAGTAACCTCTTCTCCCCCGAATGTGCGGGCGAGAGAGAGAGAGAAAACGAGTGCGGGCGTGAGAGGAATTTGGGTTTGTTTTGGGGAAGAAGGTGGGGTTTTGTTTGTGTTTGTGTGTTGATTTCTCTTTTTCTTTTTTTCTTTTTCGTTTCTTCTTTCCTTCTGAATTGTTTTGAGAGATGTTGTTGTCGTTGGGCGGTGCAGCTTTTCCGGACACACGTCGGATTATTTTGGGGCAGAGTTGATCGTTCAATTCCTTTTCTGTATTGGTAGCATTAAAGACACGGAATTACAACTCTGCAACGCCGCCATGGCAACAGCACTCCTTCTGCGACCTCAATTTAAGACAAACAACAGAACTGAGATGTGAGATATGAGAACTGAGAAGCTCACCAACACCCCTCCTTTCTCTCTCTCTCGTCTATATACTTATTATCTCTCTCTCTCTCTCTCGCGTTGATAGTTTCTGATAATGAGGACGGGTTCCGTGAGAGCTGTTTTTATGTGTAAAATGTAATCTATCTATCTCTCACAGCTACAACAATTCCGATCGATCTAAAATGCTCATCGTGTCAGTCCCATGCCCATCTCACGGTCTCTAGAAAATCCACGTGTCAAAGTACCAGCTTTTGCTCACCCGTCCTTGCACCGGAAAACCCGCTACTTTTTGTGACCCCTCTTTTAATAAAACTCTAATGCAATTTAACTAACCACTTAAATTCAACAAACCAAAATATTCGCTTCTCTAAATAATAAATATAGAAACCAGGGAAACATTAACTACACTGGACGGGCCCGTTTTCGAAGATGTTTGGACGTGTCGATATCCTACACGTGACAACTAGAATGTAGACATACGCTGGCGCCACGTGATAACTAATTGGTAGGCAAGACATGCCCTGACGTGACATCTGGTTATGGAGTCCGGTTTAGGATGCATGTTGATTTCAATACTCCCAACTGGCTCTGGCTCTGGCTCTCAACAGTCACAATCTGATCAAAACCTGGGGGTTATGAGGGATTCCAATTTGACGGTTAACAGGTTGCTCGTGCGTTGCAATGATGAGATTGAGATTACAACAATCGTAATCGACACGTGTCAGGTTGGACCATCACACATCGAATCGATAGGATCGGTATCACCATGAATCTGAACTCTGAGTCACAAATCTATCTATTTATCTATTTTTTTTTATTTTTTAATTTTTTTAATCCATATTATTTTCAAAACTATCAATTAAAACTCTACTTTCTTCCAAAAAAAATCATCCTAAAATCTCTCTATCTCTTCCCCACATGTTCCAATAACCTAAATAATCTAATATTCTAAAATTTCTCTTAAACAATCTTTCCCACTATCCCCAACTTTCTCCTCAACCTCTCCCACTATCTCTAACTTTCTCCTAAGTTGTCTCTTATTTAGTAGAGGGTTTCTCCCCTAAATTATCTCTAATTGTTATTTATCTTCTCCCCCACTTTTTATCTACATGTATGTGAAGAATGTTTGAATTAAAAAATTCTAACAAAATTATATAATAACTTTAATCTAACAATATAAATCATATAATAGCTTCTTATCTACAAGCAATATAAATTATGATTTTCTGAATAATTCAATCTAAATGTTATTCAAATAATAAAAATCTAAAATTAAAAATAAAATATTATTTAAATATTTCAATAACAAAATATTTTAAATAAAAAAATTAAAATTAATATTTTTAATCAATTAACATTATATTTTAAATAGTTACATAAATTTCAATTATAATAAATAGATTAAGGTTTTAAATATTTAGTTAAATAACGAAATATTTAACATAATTAGATTTTAAAAAGTTAAAATAACAAAATTATGTATTAATAGTACTATAACTTTATGGGTTTTTAAATTCAACAAGTAATTATTATTTTAAAATTTAAATAATGATATTATTTCAATAAATAAATAATTAATTTCATTTATACTAATTAATAATTCTAGAAAATAACATTCAAAAAAATATTTTTTATTAATAATAATTTTAAAAACTTAATTTTTATTTATTATATATTTTTCTATACTAAAATTAATATTTATTGTATTTCAGTAATTATTTATTGTTTTTTGTTATAAATATATTTTCAACAATTAAGTATAAATCTATTTTCTTTGTTATTTAATAGAAAATTTTCAATAATTATTGGAGTTTAAACTACTGTTATTTAGCTTTTTAAATATAATTTATTTTGTATTTTTGCTATAAATTTTTAATAACTATTGTTCATGGGTTGGTTCAATTCAGTTATACGTTGTTTGGCCAACATATAAGTTTTAATTTTAAAAACTTAAAAAATTAAATTCAAAAGATTTTAAACTTAAAAAAAATTAAATTTAAAAATTAAGTTTTAATTTTAAAAAATTATAATGGCATTATTAAAAAATAAATTTATGATATAAATTGTTTTAGCTTAAGAAATATTGGAAATTTCCCACTTTCTCATATTAAAAAATATATTTAAAATATAAAATATTAATATATCTATGTTCAGGTCCTTCGATTTTAGGCAATTTACAATTGGGCATAGTGAAACTGATCGAACCCGATCGAGTTGGGAAATTGTTGAACTAAAGCCTAATGAAAATACTAGAATTCGGGTTGGTTAGCTTCATTAGTTTGATTCAAAATGGCAACGGCGCAAAGCGGGGATGAATTGCCATCCCTAAATTTAATAAACAACCCTATCTAAAATTAATTATTATTCTTATATTATAAAAAAATATTAAAAATAATATATAAAATGTAAATAATTATATACTCTTACATATTTTTGTTATCTATCTTTAGCTTAACAAATATAGTGCATCTTACGGGTCCGTACTAGTTATAAATTAAAAAGCATCCCTATATTCGCTGAAGTTGTGTGTGAGTTGAGTTGAGGCCTAGTAGCACTCTGGCAGGTGGCCAAAGGATGCTTCTTCGCTTGTCCCTTTAAAAGGGATAAAGGAATTTCCAAAGCCGAGATGACACCCAGAGTGCAGTCCATCACTCACTGCATTGAGGATTCGTATTAAAACAAAGGAGGGTTTCATTGTTGATTCCTTCTGTCAAATGCAATCTGTGCATATATATTCGTATTCAGTCTGTGTATATATTCGAGTGGTAGTATATAGTATTTATATAGCCAGTCTTAACACAGATTCTAAACAGATCTCCCAATCCAAAGGTCGGAAGCTTTAGTGGTCGAAAACTTTTAAATCAAAGAAGAATAGACTTGACTGGACTATAGATAGATAACGCAGAGAAGTAAGGTAGCACAGTGCAACAGTTGGACTTGACTGCACTCGTTTAAGGTGTATTTATTTAAGACCGATTTGGGTGTCGTTTTGTGTGTCAAAAAGAAAACGAAATCAAAACGAAGAAGCTTGAACGACATAACAACTCAAAAACATGAAACCCGAAAACGGGGCTTTAGTTGCAGCTTTAGTGCATCATTAATACGTGCACAGCCTAAGAGGGTGAGGGCTGGAGCTCCCACCTCCTCACAAGTCACAACTCACAACTGGATTTCATTTACTTGTTGTGTACTTAGTAGAGCTCGAACGCAAATAGAGCATGCCGGTGCAACTCGCAAAGGAGGTGGGGAGGGGGTATTTACGTTATAAGTCCTTGTGCATTGAGGAATAAGTTAGCCACGTGGCTAACACAAGGATCCATGATAACTCTAGAGCTTTCTCTTTCTGGACTGTCCGTCCCCCGTCCAGAGACGACGTTGTTTCAACTTTCAACAGCTCTTCTCGCCTCTCTCGATTTTATTTATTAATGATAAATATAAATAGTTGAAACAATGATAAGTGCATGAAAAGAAAATCTGTTGTGGGAAATCGATGTTGATTTAACTTATTTTTATTGTTTATTCGAGATTGAGAGTCAGCTCTGCTCTAGTATTGAGACCCGGGGAGGGGAAGAGATTTTTTATGGGGTGGAAAGAAAGGCGAATTTTCTCGACTTTCCCAAAATTCTGGTTTGAGTTACACAGTGTGTGCGTATTTCATTCAGTAGGAGAAACTCTGTCGCTGCACACTCCTCGTATTCCTTCTTTCTTTTCTTTTTCTTTTTTATAATATTTTAATAATATCATATTGATGTGATTTAATTGCGATTCACTGTTCCGCCGACCTGAAATCCCGCCGTATACGGTCTCTCACGGACTCGTAACGCGTGCCTGCGCTGTACTAAGTAGCTCCCCTCTTTCTTCTCTCTCTCGCTCCCTGTATTCACGAGGGTTTTTGTTAATTTTAAGCAACACAGCACAACACAAAAGTCTCGTCTCACTGCTCAACTGCTGAATGTTGATGGCTTCTTTTTCTCCTTTATATCATGTCTTTCTTTATTTTTTTTGTTTAGGTATTTAAGCGGTTAAGCCTTTCTTTATTGGGTTAAAATACAGAAACCTCCCTCCATTTTCTTACAATCACATAAATCTCTCATTTGGCTTTCACCGTAACGAAAATTCCCCTCTAATTTTGAGGAAATGTATAATTACCTCCCTTTTGTTATCTTCCGAACTGAAAAAGGACCAACTTATTCCTTTGAGGACAAAAGGCTATGATTCTATCATTCTATGCATTTGATAAAGGATGGGACTTTAGTCACTTAACAAACATCGCTAAAGAGGGAAATGGATAGATCCGATTTGATCAGGGCACAACCTAGTAAGTAAAGGTCATGTAGATGCGATCTACTAGTAAGATGGCAATTCGGCAAGAGGAGCTTAGTCAGTAGTTTTGGGAGCTCAGGTGTTCGGTCACCTTGGCATAGAGTCACCTCGGCACCTAAGCCAGTTCCGAGCCCAGGAACTAAAGTGACATGTAATCGACTCCAGAAGCTTCTCAACGGACTCCGAATCTCCCGGGATCATGTCGTGTAATGGCAGGCCTTATCCTCTCCCCGCCCCGGATCAAGCGGTAACGATAGACTTCATTGACTAGTACGTTACTCCCCGCCTAAAGCGGAAATGGATCTCATCTACTCAGGCCAAAGATCCCATAATCGTTTCGTGAGACCTACGAAAGTTCAATTATATAAGGGCATCAACCCCTCTAGGGCCTAGGTACGCGCGATTATTTACATACAAGCTCTCTAGCATTCAAGCTTTTAGCTCGCAACCACAACAAAGATACTAACTTAAGCATCGAAAAAACCTCACCGTGTCATTCACCCTGGTTTCTCTAATCTCTGTTTTACAGTTTGATCCAGGTTGCCACACGAACAGTGTCCAGGCATCATTCCAGCTAGGAGCTTTCAGATCGCGCATCATCAATTGGCGTCGTTTGTGGGAAACGATCGAAAGGTCATCCCCATCCTAGTTTTAATCTCAGCCTCAATGGCATCTTCCAGCCACATCGGAAAGAGCGACATGAACATCACTGGGGGGCAAGAGCAGCAAACAGTCACTCCCCAGGGTTCATCGGGGACCATCGGCTAGTTCACCATCCTCGTCGAGTTCTGAAGTTCT